TCAGGCAAGCATCCACCTCATTCCTACTTTTCTCTGTTATTTCCTAAATCGACCCCCTGCCCATCTGTTTCTCCACAGGAGCAGCTCCAAACGAGGAAACTGAAACTGACCACGAGAAAGCTTACTAAAGGTAACACAAGCTGCCGTTAGCTTCCTCGCAATGCTCACTGCTTTCCTGTCCCATTCCCAACCATCCATCCACCTCTCCCCTAAAGCTATTTAAAGGGAATGCTGTAAATACACCCCCAGTGGTGCCTGCCAGAAAATCAGAAAGGGAGAAAGTCTCTCTGCTGAACACTAAGAGGTTATAGTCTTTCCTTCCTTTTAACTTGAATTTTAGATTTTGCTTTGTTTTTTTAAGAACATTATGCTTGTTATAAGTTCTTATAAAACTTTTTTAACTTTTATTTTAAATAATTTAGTAACAGTTTTGACAGTTAAAATAACTTCAATAGTCACTTGCTTAACTAATGACTTGGATGAGGAAAAAAGTGATTAATCAAGATGAAATTTAGGTATTCTTGAAAATTAGCTGAAGTGTGCCAGCAGCACTCAGCGTTAAGTCAGGCAGGAGTGAAACTATTCCCATCTTTCCACTGCTGCTGTTCTCGAAGTCTCCATGGAGGTTACATCGGAGGCTCCCTACCATCACTGCTTACAGCAACATTACATAACCAAAGCACACACACAAACCACACCTGCTCACACAGATATACAGTATGCGCGTACACAAACACAAGCTAGATGTCAAATATAGTCAGAGCAGGAAAAAATAATCTAATCTGCGCTGCGTAATAAAAGATTTTTAGGCTTTTTAGGTTACATTTAAGGGTTTAAGGGCACTTTATTAAACAGTTGAAGAATGTGCTGTGTGATTGGTTTTCTGCTGACACAACAACAAATAAATAAAAAGATGCTTACTAAGTTATCCAAGCAGGGAAAGGTTACAGAGGTTTTGTTTGAGGGTGTTAATCAATTGCTTACAGTATTGCGAACTGTGTATTTTGTGTTTTATCACCACTGAATTATTCAATTTGCTTTAAGCCAGCCAATCAGTGCACACAGTCTGAGATGTCTGAAGAAGTTTTGGTTTCCCTTTCCAAGCTAATTACAGGCTGTCTCGTTAGTGTCACATTTCTCATTACTTTCTCTTTATGTTGCACAACAAATCTGTGAGGGTCGCTCTGTCCTTACCCTGGAGATGGCGAGGGGCATGTTGAAGTCTTTTCCTCCCTGTAGTCTGAAGCCCCACGGAGCAGGGCCATTCAGAGTCACTGTGTATGTACTCATCTTCGGCTAAATGTCAACAATCCTCCTGCAAACAACTCCTGCTGGCTGCGTGGTTTCCCCTCCTGCGTGCTGTGCCCTTGTTCTCCGTCCTACCCCTGCTATCCTTTTGTCCCGCTCGGTGCCTCGGTGGTTGCTCTTACCTCCCTTGGCCCTGGCTTCACAACCCTTCTGCTCCCAGCTCTCAGGACAAACACCCCGGGGTGGGTGGGTCAGGTGCTATGGAACCACTGAGATACACAAATGGAGACACACACACACGCATATGTTTGTGCACACAGACACACACG